CCTCCCCTCCCGCTCCCTTGCTCCCGCCCCTCCTTGCTCCTGCCGTGGTGAATGTATTGCTTGGCCGTCGAGGCCGTCGAATACGGGTCTGTCGCACAACAGTTTGACAGGTCAGGGGCGGATACGTTTTATGGCGAATTCGTACCCTTCGCCATCTGGCTTCTCTTCCCTCCTCCTCCTGCTCCTCTGCCGCTCGTCCGGGCAAGAATTGGCACAGGCAGTTTCTTGCCTCTGCGTCCGTCTGCTCAGGGGGGGGGGCAGGACTTGTCCGCCCCAGCCGGCGCCCACAGCAAACAGCACCGTAATCGTGGCAAGGCCCGAGCCCGTTTTTTCTGGACGCCCGAAATGGGTACTGAAAGAATGGGTACAATGCCCAACAACAATTCCTGTTCATTTTGAACAGGAGTCGCTGTCCACGCCGCCGCGGCCTGTGTCCATTCGAGACAGGAGGCCGCCTGCCCAACAGCGGCCGCTGTTGGCTTGGGACAACATTTGTTGTTGGGCATAGTGCCCATTCTTTCCGTACCCATTTCGGGCGTCCAAGTCGTTCCTGGCTGGCGTTTCAGCCACGTTCGCAGGGCAGCCTTCCGGCGAACGTGAAAATTGGCAGCACGCTCGGCGAGGCGAGCTGTGTATGTCATCGCGGTCCGCTCCCGTCTCCTGCTTTTCCAGAGAAGTCCAGCGGCCTCTCAACGGCTGTGTAGGCTGGGCCTCCGCATGTGTATCTCGGGCGCGTGGCCTCAAGATGTCGCACGTGTAAGTCCAGCCGTGTGTGTGATTGTGTGTGCGATTGTGTGTGCGATTGTGTTTGTGATTGTGTGTGTTTGTGTGTATTTTGTCGTGTATGTGTGTTTCTGTGTTTCTGTGTGTTGTTCGTGGTTGTGTGGTTGTGTGGTTGTGTGGTTGCGAGGGTGTGTGTTTGCGTGGTTGTGTGATTGTGTGGTTGTGTGGTGGTGTGGTGGTGTGGTTGTGTGGTTGAGTGGTTGTGTGGTTGTGTGGTTGTGCGGTTGTGTGGTTGTGTGGTTGTGTGGTTGTGTGGTTGTGTGTTTGTATGTTCGCGCGTTGTTCGTGTTTGTATGTTGTGTCGTGTTTGTCGGTTTGTGTGTTCGTGTGATTGTGCTTCTTTTGTGTGTGGTTGTGTATATGTATGCATGTGAGCGTGTGTGCTTGCGTGCTTGTGTGGTTGTGTGTTTGTGTAATTGTGTGTGGTTGTGTGTTTGTGTGTGTGTTGGGTTTGTGTGTTTGCGTGCGTTTGTGATCATGCGGTTGTGTGGTTGTGTGGTTGTGTTTGTGTGTGTTAGTTCGTGTTTATGCGTTTTGTCGTGTTTGTGTGTTTGTGGTTTTGTGTGGCTGTGTGGTTGTGCGGTTGTGTGGTTGTGTGGTTGTTTGGTTGCGTGGTTGCGTGGTTGCGTGGTTGCGGGGTTGTGTGGTTGTGTGGTTTTGTGGTTGTGTAGTTGTGTGGTTGTGTGGTTGTGTGTTCGTAAGGTTGTGTGGTTGTGTGGTTGTGTGGTTGTGTGACTGTGTGTGTTTGTGTGGTTGCGTGGTTGCGTGTTTGTGTGGTTGTGTTTTGTTTTTTTTCGTGTTTGTGTGTTTGTGTGGTTCTGTGGTTGTGCGGTTGTGTGGTTGTGTGGTTGTGTGGTTGTGTGGTTGTGTGTCTGTGTGGTTGTGCGGTTGTGCGGTTATGTGGTTGTGTGGATTTTCGGTTGCGTGGTTGTGTGATTATTTGGTTTTGTCGTTGTGTGGTTGTGTGGTTGTGTGGTGTTGTGGTTGTGTGGTTGTGTGGTTGTGTGGTTGTTTGGTTGTGTGGTTGTGTGTTCGTGTGTGTTTTCGCTTTTGTGGATTGGTTCGTGTTTGTGTGTTTGTGCGTGTTTTTGTGTTCGTGTGTTTGTATGCATGTGAGCTTGTGTGATTATGTGTTTGTGTGATTGTGTGCTTGTGTGTTTGTGTGGTTGTGTGTTCGTGTAGTTGTGTGTGGTTGTGTGTTTGTGTGTTGGGTTTGTGTGTGTGTTTATGATGATGCTGTCGTGTGTTTGTGTGTGTTTGTGTGCTTGTGTGTTGTGTGTATGTGCGTTTGTGTGGTTGTGTGCTGATGTGCTTGTGTGTTTGTGTGTTCGTGGGTTTGTGGGTGTGTATGCTTGTGTTTGTGTGGTTGTGTGTTTGTGTGGTTGTGTGCTTGTGGGTTTGTGTGGATGTGTGTTTTTTGGTTGCGTGCTTGTGTGGTTGTGTGTTTCTGTGTTCGTGTGTTGTGTGGTTGTGTGGTTGTTTGTTGGTGTGTGTTTGTATGGTTTGCGTGGTTGTGTGTATGTGTGTGTGCACCTGATGACGGGCCTCGCAAGGGCGTGTTCCTGCACGAGTGGTTCATCCTTCGGCAGGTCATGGCTGTTCCCCCAGCTGGCCCATCTTGCAGGTGCCTCGGTCAACGCTTGCAACTTTGTGCCCCCGATCTTCGAGTGTCGGATAAGTTGCGCACGCACTGGCCACAGGCTGGAAGTGACGTTACCGCATGTTCGCTGACTGGGTATCCTTCGCCCCCGCGTCCAAGAGCGGGCATACCCGACGTCTGCGACAGTGAGTCACCGTGAGTGAGACCCCCTCGGTGCCGCCGTTCCCTTTTTCCTGTCGTTGGGTGCCCGTCTGGCGTCCGCAGCGACTCTCCCGCTTCCTGTTGCCTCGCTTCCGTGTGTCTCGGCCGGAATTTGACGCCAACAGGGCGGCTTTTCCGTGCTGCTACAGTACGGTCCGTGCTCCGTGCCTCTTCTTGGTGTGTGGTTCGGCTGGAGCTTGGCGCCGTAAGGGCGACTTCTCCTATCCGTCCGCCGCCGGTGCCGCGCTTGCGTCCCCATCCGCTGGGATGATTGCGCCGGTCCCCCACAATGAGGGTCACTTTGTCCCTGGCATGTGCACTCGCCTCAGCGGCCTACGCGCCTCTGCGGCCAATTATCTCGCTCTGTGCCCCAGGCGTGAATCCCGCTCCCTGGACGTTTCCTTGGAGCCGCGAACTAAAAAGTATGTGTGTGTGCGATTGTGTGCTTGCGTGCTGTGTTCTTGTGTGGTTGTGTGTTTGCGTGTTTGTGTTTATGTGTGTGTTTCTGTTCGTGTGTGCGTGTGTTTGTGTGGTTGGGTGGTTGTGTGTCTGTGTGTTTGTTGGTTGTGTGGTTGTTCGGTTGTGTGGTTGTGTGGTTGTGGTTGTGTGGTTGTGTGGTTGTTTGTTTGTGTGTTTGATTGCGTGTGTGGGGGGTTGTGTGTGTTTGTGTGTGATCGTGCGTTTGTGTGTGTGTTTGTGTGTTTGTGTGTGTTTGTGTGAATGTGTGTGATTGTGTGTTTTTGTGCGTTTGGTGCGTGTGTGCTTTTATGTTTGTGTGTTTGTGTGGTTGCGTGCTAGTGTTTTTGTGTGGTTGTGTGTTTGTGTGCGTGTGCGTTTGTGCGTGTGCGTGTGTTCGTTTGTTTTCTGTGTGGTTGTGAGGTTGTGTGTTTGTGTGTGTGTTCGTGTTTGTGTGTGTTTGTGTTGGTTTGTGTTTGTGTGTTTGTGAGTTAGTGTGTGTGGATGTGCGTTTGTGTGTGGTTGTGTGTGATTGTGGGTTGATGTGCGGTTGTGTAAGTTTGTGTGGTTCGGTGTTTGTGAGTCACTGTTTCTGTGTGCTTGTGTGTGTTTGTGTGTGGTTGTGTGTTTGCGTCTGTTTGTGTGTTGATCTGTTTGTGTGTTCGTGTGTGAACTCGTGTGTTTGTTTGTGTGTGCTGTGTGGTTGTGTGTTTGCGTGTGGTTGTGTTAGTGTGTTTGTGTGTGTTTGTGTGTGTGTTTGTGTGTGATTGTGTGCTTGTGTGTTTGTGTGTTGGTGTGCGTGTGTGTTGTGTGTGTGCTTGTGTGTATGCTTGAGTGTGTGTGTGTGTGTTTGTGTGGTTGTGTGGTTGTGTGTTTGTGTGTGTTTGTGTGTTGGTGTGGTTGTGTGGCTGTGTGTTTGTGTGTTTGTGTGTTTGTGTGTTTTTTTTTTGTGTGTGTGTGTTCCTGTGTGTGTCTGTGTGTTTGTGTGTTTGTGTGTATGTGTGGTTGTGTGTTTGTGTGTGTGTGCGTGTTTGTCTTTGTGTTTTTGTGTGTGAGTGTGTTTGTGTGTGTGGGGTGTTTGTATGTGTGTTTGCGTGTTTGCGTGATTACGTGTTTCTGTGTTTCTGTGTGGTTGTGTGGTTGTGTGTTTGTGTGTTTGTCTGGTCGTGTGGTTTGTGTGTGTTTCTGTTTGTGTGTTCGTGAATGCGTTTGTGTGTTTGTGTGTTTGCGTGTTTGTGTGTGTGTTTGTGTGTGTTTGTGTGGTTATGTGTTTGTGTGTTTGTGTGCCAGTGTGTTTGTGTGTTTGCGTGTTTGTGTGCTTGTTTGTGTGTCTGTGTGTTCATGTTTGCGTGTGTGTGGGTTTGTGTTTTGAGTGCTTGTGTGTTTGTATGCTTGTGAGGTTGTGTGTTTTTGTATTTGTGTGATTGTGTGTTATGTTGTGTTCTTGTGTGTTTGTGTGTTTGTGTGTTTGCGTGCTTGTGTATTCGTGTGTTTGTATGTGTGTGCGTATGTGTTTGTGTGTGTTTGTGTGTGTTGTGTGTTTATGTGCTAGTTTTTGTTGTTTGTGTTTGTGTGTGCTTGTGTGTTTGTGCTTTTGTGTGTTGGAGTGTTTGTGTTTTTGTGTGTTTGTGCTTGCGTGCTTGTATGTTGGTGTGGTTGTGTGGTTGTGGGTTTGTGTGCTTGTGTGTTTGTGTGTTTGTGTTTTTGTGTGTGATTGTGTGTTTTTGTGTGCTTGTGTGTTGTTGTGTGTGTTTATGTGGTTGTGTGGTTGTGGTTTTGTATGTTTGTGTGTTTGTGTGTGTTTGTGTGTGTGCTAGTGTGCGTTTGTGTGTGAGTGTGTGTTTGTGTGTTTGTGCGTGTTTGTGGTGCCAGCTTTCGGGTAGTGCCACTCTTGCCTGTCGCCGGCAGGAGCAGTGGGCGACCAAAGGCTGCGCGGGACGGTTCTGGGAGGAGAAGCCCAATGCGGGCTTCTCTGGCACGCCGCTGTGGAGGCTGCACGCCGAGCGGGATGCGCTGCAGCAGGAGGCAGCCAAGAGCAGCAGCAGCGCCTCCGCGATGCCAGACGGCCTGGCCAAGTGCGCCGGTGAGGTCGGCTGGTACTGGGGCGAGAAGCGCCAGGCGTATTGGAAAGAGTCGGACAGACAGTTTTATCGAAGTCGCCTGCGGCAAATCACCGCCGCCCTGCCCTGCTGGAAATGCCCATGAGGCCCGAGGGTTGGCCGAATATTGGCCAAGCTTCTGGACGACACGTTCCCCCAGCTGCTGTGGAAACCCTTGGGGGAAGACCTGGGGGAGGAGAGGAGGAGGAGGAGGAAGGGGGGGAGGGCGAGGAGGAGGAGGTCTCCCGGGACCCTCTCCTGGGGGCTTCCCGGCAGCCTCTGCTCCCTGGGCGCATCCTGGGCCCTCGTGGCCACTCGTCGGGGCATCTTGGGCGCCTCTGACAGGTTTCTTGGCCAGCGCAGGCCGTCTTCGGAGCCTTTGGGAGCCCTCTTGCCTCCTCCTCCTCCTCCTCCTCCTCCTCCTCCTCCTCCTCCTCCTCCTCCTCCTCCTCGTGGTCCATTCTGGACCGACTTGGAGGCCACATTGGAGGCGACAGATCTTGACTTCCCGGTCTGTTCTGGGTGGCCGGCGGGATCGGCCGAGACCCTTTTTGGGACCTTGTTCTAAGGCGGGCATGTCCCTCTGCAGGGGGGGCATGTAAGAATAGTGACAAATAGTCTGGGGCTTAGTGGGCCCTGGAAACGACAGGGCCGTTTTTTTACCGGTTCCGTTTTGCCATTTTTTGCCGGTTCCGACGCCGTTTTTTTACCGGTTCCGTCACCGTTTTTTGACCGGTTCCGGTTGCGGCTCCAATCCTGGAGCCGTTTTTTTGCCGTTTCCGGTCGCCGTTTTGTTTGCCGTTTCCATTTTCAAGGGACATTTTTTTGGAAACGGTGAAAAAACGGCCCTGCCGTTTCCGGGGCCCACAAAGGTCTGAGGACGATGTTTCGACTATTTGAACTGTTGTTGAGCATTGTTTGACTGTGTCTTACTTGTCGTCCAAAACCTGCCTGTAGGAAGACATGCCCGACCTAAACCTTGTTGGGAATGGGCAAGGCGTGAAAAGTCCAGCACGTCAACAACTCGTCTTGCAACCAACAGCAGGCGGCGGATCTAAAACGCTGACGGTGGATCACTGCCGCCCCCGGCCTTCCTGGAAATGCCGATGTGGCCAAGCGTTGGGCCCAGGCCCAAGGTTGGCCAAGCGATTCGAACGTGTTCTCCCAACTGTGGTGGAAACACTCGGGGAAATTAGAGAGAGAGAGAGAAGGAGGAGAAGGAGGAGGAGGAGGAGGAGGAGGAGGATCAGCAGGTGGAGGAAGAGGAGGCCTCTTGAGACACGTAAGAGAAAATCCTTATTGCAAGCAACAGGGGGCGGCGGATCTAGTGGCCTTCGGCCCATCCAGCCTCTGTGCCTGGATTCGCGGGTTGTGCGCTAGAGGCCTCCTAGATGCCCGTTGCGGTCTTCGGGGGTGCTTCTCGGGGGCCTCTTGAAGGCCTCTCCTGGGTCTTTAGAAGGTGCAGTGCTTGCATTCAGGTTTCTTATGTCTTCTCTAGGTAACAGGGCTCCTTTGCCAGGTCCGCCGCCTTGCTGTCATCGTCGCCGCCTCGTCGCCGCCCGTCGTCTGCTCTCCGCTGCCGGGTCCGCCGCCTTGTTGGGCCGTCGCCCCCTTGCCGCCGCCCATCGTTTGGGTTCCTTTGCCAGGTCCGCCGCCTTGTCCCCGTCGCCGCCTCGTCGCCGCCTGTCGTCTGGGCTCCGTTGCCGGATCCGCCGCCTTGTTGTCGCCGTCGCCGCTTCGTCGCCGCCCGTCGTCTGGACTCCGCTGCCGGGTCCGCCGCCTTGTTGTGGCCGTCTCCGCCCCGCCGCCGCCCGATATAGATCCTCCTTTCTAAAAAGATTAATAGATTCTACCCCCCCCCCCCCCGGACTCATCGGGCTCCCCCTGGGATAGTATGATTTCATATATATTCTGCACTCTCGTCCATCCGAGATATGAAATCGTACCATCCCAGCCAAACCGGTTTCCCCCCCTGAGGTTCCCTTGTAAAAAACATTATGCGGTGGCATTTTTTGTTCTAAAATAATATTTTCTCACGAATCCTTTGCAACAAATGAGACGAAGTGCACACGCGCGCGTCGTCGCGCGCGCATGCCGAAATCCTTCAAAAACCTTCGGTGCGGGAAGGATTTCGCAATCGAGTTCCCAAAACACATGCAAAAACACAGGGTTTCGCAACACAGAGTTGCTAAACAAACTTCCGCGAAAGCTCTTGCGAAATCTTAAGAAAGCCATAGGCTTTCAAGATGTTCACAAAATGCTACCAAACGGGTTTCGCGCGCGCGCTCATGTCGAAATCTGTCGAACGCCCTTGCGCGTGTGCCGTCGCGAGAATCCCTTGCAACAAATGGGACGAAGTGCAGACGCGCGCGTCGTCGCGCGCGTATGCCGAAAACCGTCAAAACCCATCGGTTTCGGAAGGATTTCAAAATCGTGTGTCAAAAAAACCTACAAAAACACGAGGTTTCGCAACACGGATGTTCAGCAAAAGCGTGCGCGCGCGCTCTTGCGTCGTCGTTGTCGTCGTCGTCGCCGTCCTCCCTCCTCCCGCGTCGTCGTCGTCGTCGTCGCCTACGTCGTCCTCTGTCTTTCCTCGTGTTCGTCGTCGTCGTCCTCTTTGGCGTCGTGGTCGTTTCCGTCGTCGTTGTCGCCGTGGTCGTCCTTCCTCCTCCTCCCTCGTCGTCGTCGTCGTCCGTCGTCGGCGTCTCGTCGTCGTCCCTCCTATTTCGTCGCCGTCGTCGTCGTCGTCGTCGTCGTTGTCGTCGTCGTCGTCTTCCCTCCTCCCTCGTCGTTGCCGTCGTCGGCGTCGCCGTCCTTCCTCCTTCTTCGTCGTTCGCGTCGTCGCCGTCCGCCCTCCTCCCTCGTCGTTGTCGCTTCCTCGCTGTCTTCGTTGGTGACGTCGTCGTCTTCTTCGTCGTCATCGGCGTCGGCGTCGTTGTCGTCTTTGTCGTCGCCGCCGTCGTCGTCGTCGTCGTCGTCGCCGCCGTCGTCGTCGTCGTCGTCGTCGTCGTCGGCGTCGTTGACGTCGTCGTCGTCGGTGTCGTCGTTATCGTCGGCGTCGTCATCGTCGTCGTCGTTGTCATCGTCGTCGTCGTCGGCGTCGGTGTCGTCGTCGTCGTCGGTGTCGTCGTCGTCGTCGTTGTCGGCGTCGTCGAAGTCGTTGGAGACGTCGTCGGTGTCGTCGTAGTCGTTGTCGGCGGCGTCGTCATCGTCGTTGTCGCTGTCGTCGTCGGCGTCGCTGTTGTTGCCAAGTGCCATGTGGTACCCACCGTCACGGTCTTAAGAGATTTTGCAAACCAAGTTGCGGATGGGTGGGTGGGATGTTTGCGCGAGCAGTGGAGTGGACAACTCACTGCGAACAGAAATTAACTGCACCACATAGATTGCACCACATAGCTTATCCCTCATAGATTGCACCACAGATATTGCATCACATAGGCTTACACCAAACATATTGTACCACTTAGACTGCTCGAAACCACTGCTTGGGACCCACGCTGGCTGACAGCTTTCTGCGGCAGTAGAACGCGAGGGGACCTGAGGACATCCCATTCGGTGCATAGGGCACGGTGGCGGATGTGTGGGACAAGATCGCCCAGGAGCGCGTGCGCCTCCACGAGTCTGAGACGCAGGGCGTATCGCTCGCGGTGGGCTCCAATTGCCACGAGCGCGCCGCTCAGGTCAAGCACGTGATCGTGAGGGACCTGCCAAAGGCAGGAACGGCGCTGAGGATGTCGCTGGACCACCTGGATCTGCCCTGCGCCCTCTACGCGCTATACGAGGGGCATCGCGGCGCGGCAGGGGGCGGGAACACGTGCTCGGACTTCTGCGCGAAACACCTGCACGGCAAGTTGCTGCCCAAGCTCGCGGCGTTCCGAGGCCAGTGGCTGGACGAGCACCTCAAGGTGGCCCTGCGCGAGACTTTCGAGGAGCTGGATGCGAGCTTCGCGGAGAAGAACCCAGACGCCAAGGACGGCTGCTGCGCGGCCGTGGCCTTGGTCATCGGAGATCGCGTGGCGGTGGCCAGCCTCGGAGACATCGCCTGCCTCGCATGCCTGCGCTCCGGCGAGATCGTCCGCCTCGCGAAGGCGCACGCGGTCCCAGACCCCGACGCGGACGAGGACGACGAGGACAGCAACAGCGGCGAGGCGGCCGCAGCGGCAGCAGAGGCGCCCCCGAGCGCCGACTTCAGATGGACGCGTTCGTTCGGGGATCTCAGCTTCAAGGCGCCAGGGCGCGAGGGCCCGCGGGTGACCGCGACGCCGGACGTGGCGGTGCTGCGTCTCGAGAAGGAGCACCTGGGCTTCATCCTGGTCTGCAGGGAGCTGTACGCTGCTATCGGCGGCGAGACCGCCGTCAGCACGGTCTTCCGCCGCAGCGCCGGGCGCCCACGCATGGCATCCGGCGCACTGGTGGACGCGGCGGTGCTCGGAGGAGAGCGAGTTGAGACAACGGCAGTTGGACCTCGGGAGGCTCCGTCGTCGCCACGGCTGGACGCAGGTCGGAGAAAATTGGCGCGCTTGGACCCAGGGATGATGATGATGATGATGATGATGATGATGATGATGATGATGATGATGATGCTGGTGATGATGATGATGAAGATGATGATGATGATGATGATGATGATGATGATGACGATGATGATGATGATGACGACGACGATGATGATGACGACGACGATGATGATGATGATGATGATGATGATGATGATGATGATGATGATGATGATGATGATGATGATGATGATGATGATGATGATGATGATGATGATGATGATGATGACCGATCCTGAGCTGCCGTTATTTCAAGCCGCGTGGCTCCCGAGGTGCAGTGGCTGGGGGACGTGAAGCCCAGCAGCGGCCTCGCGTCGGTGGTCGCGTTCGTGGACTGGCAGGGCGCCGCAGCGGCTGGCGGTTCAAGCGCCTCCTCGGAGCCGGCGGCCAAGCGCCAGAGGAAGGAGCCGGAGCAGGTCCGCCTCAGGAACATCCTGCTGAAGCACCGCGACTGCAGGAGCGCCATCGACAAGGTGCGAAACAAGCAGGTCAAGCGGCCCCGTTGCGAGGCGGAGCGCATGGCGCGCAGGATCTTCGAGGAGTGCGTCACGGACACCTCCCGGAAGGTATTCACTCAGCGGTGCCGCGAGCTGTCTGAGTGTCAGAGTTCCTTGAAGGCCCGCGAGATGGCCGGAGATCTTGGCTGGGTCAAGCGCACTGAGACCAAGTTCGGTGAGGCATTCCACGCAGTGGCCTTCAGCCTCCAGATCAACGAGCTGAGCGATTTGGTCGACACTGACCAAGGCATTCACCTTTTGCTCCGGACTGCCTGAAGAAGCCGCATCGGGTGCGTATAGCGGAGGCACATGGTGAGGCCATCCTCGGGAAGATAGACAGGAGAGAACCTGAGACATTGAGAAGAGGCGACAGAGAGAGAGAGAGGCGGACGCGCGTATCGGCACTGCCTCTGTTTCCCCGCGCGCCAGAGACACGAAAGAAGAAGAAATGAGCCCAGCCTGCTTGCAGAGCAGGGCATTCGCATCAGGCATCGTCTCGTTTCACTTTCAGCGGTGGGCTGGACTGCCGCCTGGGTGAACGAACGGAGCTGTACGTAGCATGAGTCAATTGGGCCAGCTGTCTTGAGACACTTGGGCAGTAGCAGCAGCGTTTGGGTTTGGGCGCCGTCACTTAGCATTCAGCCGCTGGCATGTGGGCGGTGGGCTGGGCTGCAGTCTGGCCAAAAACTAAGTTGATGTGTCTTTGTCTCGTTGCAGGCCGCCGTGGAGGATGCGGCGTTGCGACTGACAGTGCCGTTGATCAGCTAGTGCAGTTAAAATGCATGGTCGCCCCGCGGCTACCAGTTGTCTCTTCTGTTCTCCCCTTTCTCCGTCCAGTTGCTTTCCCGCTGGGGAGATGTACAGCATCCCTCGCCAGTTCCCCCCCCCCCCAGGGAAAAACGTGTATGATTTAGGTAGGGGAGCGGCAGTAGCATCAGCACGGGTGAGCTGCGTGCGTGTGATTATTGTTGAAAGTTCCCCCTAGGAAGAAGGCATTGGAGGAATATGATGTATTTGCTTCCAGCTGGGTGCCTTGAGGGAGACGGGTAGCAGTAGCCCGTGCGAGTTGCAGTCGCGTGAGCCCATTGGCGGCATCAGCGAATGACAAGACAAGCAATGTTGACGACGGGTGGTTGTCTGCTCTTCCCGCCGAATTACAACGGCGGGCATTCCGTGCGCCTGTATCTCAGCGTGACCATGTCCTGAGAAGGAGTCATCCGCAAAGCTAGCCAGACGAGCTCCTCAAACATGTGTGCGCGTCTCTCAAGTCAGTTCTTGAAGCGCACATTTGAGCGACAAGTGTCTTCCCATCGGTTTCCGTGGCGATCGCCAGATAGGAGCCTTCCGTCACCTTGGCCAGGGGAAGAATTTAGCAGGAAGCCCCAAAAGGCTTTCGGGTAGCCTCAAGAGGCACGCGACCTCCCCCCGGAAATCTCCCAAATTAGGGCCCAGGCCCGCAATATATCCATTCTTGCTGAACAGAGAACTCACAGGTCCTAAGGACACTCCAATCCGTGCCTCGAGACACTGTGGCGGGCTAGCGATAAGTGGCGCCCCCGTGTACCAACACGTACGTGTGTCTGCCTCCCTGCCCGATGTCTGCAGACGGTTGGGCACAGAGGCTTTCTTCCTTTGGGCCGTGCGCCCTCGAAGCCGCGCGGCGGCGGGTCAGCAAGGTCCTGCATGGGTGTGGGTTCCTGGCCCTCCTCGCGGAGTAGGGCAGATGGGGCACCCAGGCCGAGGGAAGAGACCACGGTAAGGGGGATGGGCCCCCCGACGCTCGCAGCGTCCGGAGGGGGGGGGGGGGGGGGGGGGGGGGGGGGGGGGCGAAATCCCTCTCCTCACCTACGAGTCTCCTCTCCTTCCAGGCGACCCACTCCCATCGCATTGGGGGCATCGAGTTCCTGAGAGTGGCAGGGGCCCTGCGCCAAGAGCCCGGGAGCCGCCACCCGTAAAAGAGGCGTATCCGTCATCTGCTGCCATTATTTTACCGCCACCGCACCGCTATTCAGGTTCATCGAGGACATGGTCCCGTGTACCAACACTTATGTGTATTTTCCTCCGTGCGCGACGTTTGTGGCCATTTGGGCTCAGGCGCTCGGCCGATTTTGGGCAGCCCACCCACCACCCTGGGGCATCAAGTTCTTGGGAGTGGCACCCTCTGTTACCGCCGTCGCACCGCTAATAAAGTAGGGCCCATCGGAGGTCCACTTGTCATTTCAAAGTCGCGTGTGGCCTTGGTGATGATCGCAATGATCAGGCTGAGCTCGTCGGAGTGACCCTTTGGTGCGCGGCTTTCGGGGGGGGGGAGCAGGGGGCAAGCCCGAGCATATGAAGGCCGCCCCTGCCGCACAGCACGCAGCGGTCGGCAGGCCGCGCGCCCGAAGGACCGGCCCGGGGGCCGGCCGTGGCTCGCCGCCCGTCCTGGGCCGAGCCGCCCCGCTCCTGCGCCCGCTTCGGCTCGAGCCGCCCGCCGCCGCGTCCGCCAGCGGGGGCCCTATGCCTCCCCGCGGCCGTCGCCCCGAGCGGGGGCCAGTCGGCGCCGGCGGGCGCGGCGGGCAGGCCCCTCCTCCTCCTCCTCCTCCTCCTCCTCCTCCTCCTCCTCCTCCTCCTCCTCCTCCTCCTCCTCCTCCTCCTCCTGTGGGCCTCGAAGCGGGGCGCGCGCTCCTCGCGGGGGGCGGGGCCTCGGCGGAGCAGTCACGTGTGCGCCGCGTCGCGGGGCCCAGGGGCCCGACTCCAGGAGCGGTGCGAAGAACTCGTGCGGCACTCCAGAGAAGCAGGCTCAGCTGCCTTCAGCTGCGACGGCTCAGCGCCTCCTCGAGCCGAACTCCCCCGCGTCTGGACGACGGAAAAAAATGTAGTTTACCGCGCGCAGTGCCACTGGTCGAAGCTGGTCGGGGAGCCTTGGCGGCCAGCGCGCCCATCCGAGCTGGGGCGGGTCCTGCGTGGAGCGGGGCCCCGAGAGGCTGTTCGCCGTCTTCGGCCTCTTGGGGGCCGCTCCTCCGCCGCGGGCCGTCGGGTTACCAGCCTCGAACGTATCCCTATCCCTAAGATGGACACGCCAAAAGGCGATGACAATCTCTAGGTGATCCGCTTCGGAATCCTGGCCAGGACGCGCCCCCACACGGGTTTTGGGGCCGGTATGCGAAGGGGGGAGAGGAGGAGGAGGAGGAGGAGGAGGAGGAGGAGGAGGAGGAGGAAGAGGAGGAGCAGGAGGAACAGGAGGAGGAGGAGGAGGAGGAGACGGAGGAGGAGGGCGAGAAGAAGGAGGACGAGGATGTGGGAGGAGAAAGAGGAAGAGGAGGAGGAGGAGGAGGAGGAGGAGGAGGAGGAGGAGGAGGAGGAGGAGGAGGAGGGGGGGAGGAGGCAACGGAAAGGAGAGGAAGAGAAGGAGGAGGAAGAGAAGCAGGAGGCAGAGGATGAGTAAGGAAGAGGAGGCGGAGGAGGAGGAGGAGGAAGAGCAGGAAGAGATAGAAGAAGAAGAAGAAGAAGAAGAAGAGGAGGAGGGAGAGGAGACGGTGAAGGAGGGCGATGGAGGAGCCGGAGGGCATCTGCAGGAGGACCGGAGGGTCCCTGCAGGAGGAGATAGGGGGGAGAAGCCGACCCAGACATCGGGCGCGTTCCAGACAGGGCCCCGCCGTCGGCAAGCTTCGCCCTCGGCGGAAGCTGGCAGAAGCAAGAGCCAGGCGTCAGTTTGGGGGGATCCAGGGTTCCCGAAGTCGTTCGTATGGCGCCTCGAATCGAGGCGGCCGGTGTGTTGCCATGTTTGGCTTCCGGAGGCCGCAGTTCGGGCTACGGGACCGTCAAGAAAAGACTCGAGGTGAAAAGCTGGCCTTGGTGATGGGGTCGAGTGGTCCGGGGCGCGCATCGAAGAAAGCGAAGCGCCCGACATCTAGGGCAGAAGGGCTGTGAAGGAGCAGGAGCGCTCCTCCTCCTCCTCCTCATCATCATCATCCTCCTCCTCCTCGTCCTCCTCGTCCTCCTCCTCCGCATCCTCCCCCTCCTCCTCCTCCTCCTCCTCCTCCTCATCATCATCATCATCATCATCATCACCATCATCATCATCATCACCACCATCATCATCATCATCATCATCATCATCATCATCATCATCATCATCATCATCATCATGATCATCCCACCTTCTCCTCCTTCTCCTCCTCCTCCTCCTCCTCTGCCTCATCCGCCTCATCCTCATCCTCCTCCTTCTCCCCAAACATCCTCATCATCCTCCCTTTTCGCTTCATCCTCCTCCTCCTTCTCCTCCTCCTCCTAGCGCACACTCCGAACCCCAGGATCCAAACATGAAATGGAGGGACGACGTGCGCGCTGCAAACTACTCCTTTGCTCCTTGCTCATTCCCCCGCTCGTCAGGCCAGGCTCCTCTCTTTCCTCGTCCTCGTCGTTGGGTGTGTATCTCGGTCTCTCGGGCGGCATAGCTAAAAGGTTTGTCCTCCTTATCCTCATGATCATCCCTCCCTCTTTCACCCTCCTCCGTCTTCCGATTCCTCCACCTTCTCGTGGCAGGCATCTGGGGTGTCATGCCGACCACTGCGCTCGACCTCGTGCAGGGCATCACGGAGTACAGCAGCCGGATCGCCCTGAAGCAGTTGTTCAGCCAGTTCGGCGAGGTCACCGCCTGTTGGATACCGCCTTTGGAATCTCGGCGGAACGAGAAGTCCTACGTTAAGTTCCACACAACGAAGGCGGCGCAGGCTGCGCTGGACGCCGCCAACGCGGGCCAGCTGTTCCTCGACGGCGTCAACCTGCGCGCCGACTGGAGGATGACACCCGCCAGGACACAGGACACCAGGGATTTCGATGCGCGAGGGAGCAACCTCATGACCTCCCGGGACCTGATGCGGGCCACGATGAAGGAGCGCGGGAAGGCGAAGGACGACAAGAAGCCGAAGGCGACCGACGACAAGGACAGGGACAGGGACAAGAAGCGGAAGGAGGACAGGGGCAAGAGCAGGGACCGCGACAGGCGGCGGCGGAGCCGCAGCCGCAAGCGCAGCAAGAGCCGAAGCCGCAGCCGGAAGCGCAGCCGGAGCGGGGAGAAGCGGGGCCGCTCGCGCAGCGGGAGGCAGGGCCGCAGCCGCAGTCGCAAGCCCTCCGGCTCGCCGATCCGGGCCCTCGAGGACGTCCTGGAGAAGGAGGAGCCGCAGCCGGAGGGGGGCGGCACCACCGCCACGATATGAGGGGCTCCCTTCTCCCCACTTCTCCCCCGTCTGCGTTCGTCATCGTCCCTGTCCCGCTTCCTCCCTCTGCTGTTC